TTGGCCCCCCGAAAAGTGACCCCCATGTTCAAAATTAATTTATTTATGCTATGCGTCAGTGTTTGGGCCACAAAAATTCATATGTGTACTAAATTTCAACTTAATCGGTCCAGTAGATTCGAAGCAAATTGACTGTGACAGACAGACAGACACACGAGTGATCCTACAAGGGTATTGCTTTTCATTCGGACGTACGGAACCCGTAAAAAAAGGCCTTCGAAAAGCCCGAAAACTAGAATGAAACGTTGACGGCTATTTCTTAATAAATTAATAACTTTTAATCCCTCTTCTTTGCTTTCACATAGAGTGTAAAAAACAGGGGAAGAATAGAGAATATAATTAATTACTATTCCAAAACAGTCGTTTTTTCTTAACACGTCCGAATGAACTTCTTCGTAATTCTTAATAAAGAACTGCTCTACAGCACCTCTCTGAATGAAAAACATTGTGTCGTTGACTTCACCCTCTTCACATATGATGTTGCCAGCAAAAAATGTTAAAGTATTCATTTTTGATACTACCAAACGTATGAAATCCGTGTGACAAGAACTGAATATATAATTCTGGAGAAAAAATTTTAAAATTAAAGAAAAATGACTGTGTCTCATACCACTAAAGAATCCATAAAATTGGCTGGGGAAAGTGATGATTAATTCGAGAGCGGACCGTTCACACATTGTGTCATTATCAGGGCCGTATTTAGGACGTCTACGTACAAACACATGTGCCTCTCATGTTATCGTGTACTGCATTACAATAGGTACCCAATAACAAATAGCTTTTTGGTCATTTTAATGAAGAGTCAGCATCCATTGCAAAGAACAACACGAGGTCTTTGTTGACGTTATAAAATTTTGATCATCGGCCTAAGTACGGACCTTGTGTGCGAATGATGTCCGCTCTCTACTAATAATTAATAAAGAACTAATAAAAATTAGACAAGCAATTACAATTAAATATGGTAATAAAGTGAAATTAATTCTTGAATACTAACCCTGTATAAATGTTCATCGTATGCTTCATTTTTAAGGGCTGCTCTTAGTGTTACGGGTGCTTTGAGAAGAAATATAGGATTCTGTTGTCCCCTTTCTCTATCAAACAAATTAGTGGCATATCTACTAATATTTTCTAACAAGGGCTGTGATATATAGCTGTTTCTCAAATATCGCTACAATACATTATTAATTTTAATTGTGTAGAATCAAAGCCAATAAAGTCGAAAGTTTTTTTTTTTGATACTTATAAAACCATATGCAATAAATAGTGTATTAGACAAGAAGGGAAGAAAGTAGGGTATTCCTTCCCGGGTGCTAATGGTCACACGAGCTGGTGGCAAAAATTCTTTCCTAATGAGTACCTAATATACATACAATTTTTTACCCGGTGGGGAATGTTTTGCTTTCATCCCTGAAATCAGGGAAAAATATCGCACTTACGGTAGGGGTATGGTAAAAAGACTGTTAACCCTGATACTCGCTGAATTAAGGGAAGAAATGGAAATACAGTGTAAACTCTTTATAACGTCACTCGATTTAACGACAAACTCCTTAAAACGTCCAAAATGCTTGACTTTGGTTCGTTTACATTGTTTTCTATACAATATTACACTCTATATAGCGTAACGCTCATTTTATTTAACGACAACAATGCGGCATTATAAAACATTGAGCAGTACTTTCTAAGTTGCCGAAATAGATAAGAACTGCAGCTGTGTACGTTGTTGAAGAAGACGATCCTGTCCCTCCACCAAGCATCAAACAAGCACTTGATGCAGCGAAACTATTAAAAAAATACTTTTTATATAATCAAATTGATCCAGCAGTAT